CTAATTTTCTAAATAAACTTGAGAATCTCGGACGGGCGGAAAGGGAAATATTAAGCGCGAAGTTCTAAAATTGAAATGAATAGATCTAGCGCATGATCCGCACTATCAGCAAAAATAGATAGTGCACCGTCGATTCATTTCCTATCAACGGTTCCAATTTTCCTGAACGAACTTATCGCGGATAACAATTCTCTACCGTCGATTAACTATTCAAATCCAACGTCTGTCCATCATTCCCACTCCTGTTTACCAAATATATATACGAACTCCCCGCAGCTTTTATTCCTTAGTGCATCAAGCATAATTTCATCTCTTAATTCATCAATTTAACTGAAATCACATAGAAAGAGAAATGTCAGGAAGAGGAAAGGGTGGCAAAGGTTTGGGAAAGGGTGGTGCAAAGCGGCACCGTAAGGTTCTGAGGGATAACATTCAGGGCATAACCAAGCCGGCGATTCGGCGTCTGGCTCGTAGAGGTGGAGTCAAGCGTATCAGTGGGCTAATATATGAGGAGACCCGTGGGGTTCTCAAGATTTTCCTTGAAAATGTAATCCGTGATGCTGTTACCTACACCGAGCATGCCCGCCGCAAGACTGTCACTGCCATGGACGTTGTCTATGCGCTCAAGAGGCAAGGCCGAACCCTCTATGGATTTGGTGGTTAGGTCTGTATGGTTTGGGATTTGAATGTGGTATTTAGGTTAGTGTTTCGCATTATGATTAAATGATTGTAATACGATCCGTTTTGGATCATATGTCATTTCATTGAGATGAAATTACGATAGGTTTGTTTTATCAAAATTTATGCTTTACTATTTCATATTTTCAGTGTTCTTTCTTTTTTAAAGCTTAAAATTATTGTATATTCATCTGGGCTAACAATTAAGAAAATATTAAAAAATAATGTAATACGTTTTGAATCGCAATGTCATAATCATAAGATTACAAAGTTGAAATAGTAATTATTGATTAAATGATTAAAATTTATTGTATAATAAAATGGACAGATATACCCTTAACAAAAAATGGTTCAAAATGGAAGCAAAGAGGAAAAAGTTATTGTGCAACACTATTCATTTGCACTAAAATGGTGCAATGGGTTGGAAGAGATTTAGACCAAAAATTAGGTGCAATTTGGTGAATTATGGTGCAATGAGAATGAGTTGGAGATGGTCTTAGTGTCCAAATTTTAATTCAGAATTTCTAGTTAATAAGTAAAATCATTTTCTTCGGTATTTAAACTCAACAACCTGGTACATTTTTGACTCGATCTAAGCTTAGATCAGCTTATGATGGAATACGTTGTTGGCCGAACAACATAAAGTAAGTCGATTTGGGTGGACTCTGTGCCATAAAAGAAGAGTCTTTGGACTTTGTTCCAAGATGGAACCATTTATATATTAATAAATTTGCATTCCATATGAACCCACGTCTTCTTCATGGTCTTTGTTGCTTTTCTTGGGCACCCATTTTAAAGAAAAGCTTAACTCCCCAAGTTAAAGACCAACCGACCAAACCAATTCTCATCCGCTAGACGACAAAATCCACCGATTCAGTTCCCTCTTTAGGACGTCTTCGGATTCTCCTCGTAAGATATGTTTTAAGGAGCGTATTGTCACTCGTCTCTCTCCCAGCCACAAATTCTCTACATGAACTTTTCATAATTAATAAAAAAAGAGAAGAGAGAAAAGAACTCGTATAAATCGTCACCTTCGTATATATAAATCTATTAACTCTCCTCTCAGCATTTTGAATTGCAGCTACTAATTTTTTAATTCAAAATGCCCTCAACTTCAAGTGGAGATAGCAGCATTGATGCGGGCTCTTTCGAGGCTTTCTTTGATGGCTGGATTGTTCGTCACAAAAATTTTGTTGAGGAGCTACTCAGAGCACAACAAAGTTATGATGAGTCTTGGGAGGATGCAATCAGGGGCCTTATTTATCGAGTTCTGGCTCATCTACACGAGTATTATCAAGAAAAGTCAAGAATGATTCGAAGGGATGTATCTCTAGTGTTTTCACCACCTTGGTTCACTGCATTGGAAAGAACCTTTTTTTGGATTGCAGGATTCAGGCCCCAATTGGCATTTTCTCTGGTGATGAGATCTGTGAATGATTTTACTGAGAATCAATCCCAGAGAATTCAAAGGTTGACGCATGATGCAGAAATGGAAGCAGAGGTGCTGGCTGAGGAGTTGGCAAGGGTTCAAGAGAGTGTGGCGGCCCCACCGGTGTCTGATCTGGCGAAGCAGGTAGGAAGAAGGGTGGCGAACGGTGGAGAAATAAGGTATTTGGATACAATGCCCGAGGCATTGAAGTCAAAAATGGAGAATTTGCTCATTGATGCGGATTTGTTGAGGAGAAGAATAGTTCAGGAGGTAGTGGAAATACTGAGTCCCGCACAAAATATGAGGTTCTTGGGTGATGCAATTCAGCTCCACCTTAGGATCCGGGAGCTGGGGCGGCAGAGAGAGGCGGAGGCAGAGCAGCTTCAGCACGAAAGAGAAATGGGTGGTAGGCAATTTCTATCTAGCTAGTTACGTACAAATGAAGGACGGCTCTATGTTGTGAAATCATCTGATATCCACTCTTGTTTGTATATGCATCAAACTTGAGGGGCAGATTAATTTGCTAGATATTTTGTGTATTAAATATTGAGTTATGCTACAAGCATTTTCCTTAAATATTAATGTCTAATGTGTTTGTGCTCTTCAGAGATGAAAAATAAAGCATATTTATTACTAGTATAATCACGCAATTCAGTCAAGAGTTGATTGATTACCAGAACTTAAATCGTACTCCTTAGTACGTTGCAATAAAGGAATTAATTAAGAATTATGCTTGGTGTATATAAAAAATTGTACATAAGGGTGTCATTTCCTTTACATGGGGTAGGATCCACAAAATTATGTACAAAAATTATGTACATCAAATAAGATCCATTAATTATATTGAATTTTTTGATAATTATCAAGTTTTGGGTCCAAAGAAAAGGCTAACGACACAGTAGTAATGAGTATTTTTGAAACTAGGGGGCACAAGACGACAAGGCAAGAAAAACACTGGGTCTCAAAACCATGTAGGCCTGACTGTTTTGGATAAAACTTGACTAGGTTGGCCATAACAGTTTCTTGAGTTGAGTAACGACTGTGGTTTTGTTGCTTCATGGTTTGCCTAAATGAGTTGTTTTGGGGGATAATATTCCAATCGATGACAGGTTGTCCAGCCCACAGACAAGGAGCTGCAATTAGTGTGTATTTTGGCGCACGGTGCATTGAGCTAACAGTTGGGTAGCACAGACCACAGCCAACGTGCACAGAATGATGTGGTGACTCTTCATATGGACATTCAAGCCAAGTGTCAACTGACTGTGTCTTGGATTGATGGGCAGTTGGATTTGTCGAGATGGCCAAGCTTTGCTAGACCAACACAACGTAATACCAAAATACAGTCAACGTAATACCAAAATACAGTCCTAGGATAAGGTGGACACCTCAGTATACACAAAAATTGTAAAATAATCTTTGCATCCAGAAAGTGGACTAAAATTTCATTACCATAAAAATAGCCTTGCCTCGAACGAATCCATGCCTGAATTGAAAACAAATTCATCAGTGCTATTATTCAAAATTATGTCATTAGGAGGAGGATCACATTTGTCTGGTACTAGACCAGTAATGTGCGTAATATAACAGAATGAAATTACATAAACTATAATGCTAGTTGGCTATTATTTCTCTCATTCTTTGTTGAACGAAGATTTTCCATTGATTTTGTACTTAAGATTAAAATCAACAAGTCTGTAAATACTTTCCCTTGTGCTAGAATAAAGGCATTTCTTGAATAATCAAAGTAGTGTCGACTTACAAGACATGTCACATAGTAATCAGCTAAAGAGAAGCTCAGCAAGAGATTACTCAAGGTCAGTTCTTCACTTAGACATTGCCTATTCCACATGTGCCCATTGAGTCGATGAGGCCATGCCATTGGATCCTTGCCTGAACGTTGAGACGTCACCTCCTATTGCAGTGTATTTTCGAGGCAGTTTGAATATTATGTGATGGGCAAAAGACACCATACATTTGACACATTTTACAGCTCAACAGCCTCAATCAACTTTTCACTTTGTGCAAGTCTATGACGACGGCGCGCTTAAGGTGATTACATTTCACCCTATGATCAGGAGTATAAGGACAACATGTCTATGATAGATAGGGATTCATACAAATTACAATGGAGCTTCACAAATGGGTTGTTAAGATAAAGTCATGTGTCAAATATTCAATGAGCCCCATCTCATTTCTCTTAATACTAGTTTTTACCCGTGCATTGCACGGAATTGGTTATTTTGTAGGCAATGTTAGTACGTTAAATAACATAGTTATTGATTTTTAGGACCAAAGACCATCTAAATGCCTTGCAGCACGTCAGTATAACGCAGTGGAAGTGCAAAAACATTTTGAAGCAAGGATCATGACCAGTTTTAAATCATGACCAAATATCAAATATCATACGCATACCTCAGAAATGCCATAAGGTTCCAACAACCTTTGCAAAGCAACTATCTTGTCCAGATCCACAGTAAGCTGGAAAAAGTACACGAGGGAAATTCAACAAAGAAAGAAATGAGGAACAAGGACATATATAGGAATTATTTTGTCATCTTGTTGTCAGTCAATAATTAAAAGTTTCAGTTATAAGCAAAATAGCGATAATTTGATTCGGGAAAAAGTTATAATATATATTTGTCTTCCCCCTTACGAATATTCATGTTGTTAGCTGAAAGATAGAGACATAATATAGCTTAGGTTGATCTGCTTCAGAGGCAAACCTACGTCAAGATTACTCTCTATATCAGAAGTCCAGACAATTGAACTATGAATATAATAAAATATTTTAGTTGTAACCATCCAAGTTAAGAAAATATAGAGGGTTCCATAATAGAGTATATATACACAACGTTTTTTAAAGAAGTTGTCTAAGTTACATGATTAGGATAATAACATGTTAACATTTTGAGTCATTCTATTTACTATGCTTTTTATTTTTTAATGATTAACTCACACATACATAGATCTAAATTATATTATTCAGCAAGCTATCTTCTATTACAATTAGTAAAGCATAAGGCCATTTTTCAGTTAAGTGGATGGACAAACTATAATTTTTGTGAAAAGTAAGAAAACCAGAAACAAACCGTGCTGGCTAAGAAACCTTCATGTTCAGTCAAACAGGTTTGTCAGAACTCGAAGTATAGAACTCTTTTGGCGAAATGAAATGAGGACTACCACACAAGACAAAGGCTGGGCACTGGGAAAAAACTAGAAGTGGTAAAGTATGAGCATGAAGACCCATAATTTGAGTAAGACCTGGAAATGCAAGCAAATCTGGTTGTAACAAGAAAAAGTGGCTAGAATTTTTATTTCACACTAAAATCATCAACCATTTATCCAACTACAGTGAATTCTATATACAGAAGTTTTAAAAGATATTTCTGCGATTCAGAGAGAGAGGCAATGCTTAAACAACAAATGTGCAATGCTGGATGTGCATACTGCATCATGCGCTATTCCTATTCAAAGGTCAAATAACAAATTGTGTTACCGAAGGTGCCATGTCGCACGAAGTTGATGTTTTGACAGAGAAGATGTAGGATATAGAAGAGAGAAGGGAGAGTATTTCGTTTTTTATATCACAAGTGTACGATATCATAAAAAGCAATATAGTAGACTTTTGAGTTCGGATATCGTTCCCACGAGAACAATACTTTAGGACTTAATTTAATTTTTCTAACTCATATTTGATAAAAGCAAGTAAATAATTATGATGATTGTAATTATTTTTCCTAACTAATTTTAATAATTGAAATTATAAAAAGATTGCACACAACGGTTGATTGAATATTCAAATATGTGATGAATATTAAGACATAATAATTTCATCTATTAATCACCTTAATTCTTAATTCAAGATTCATAACCTAATGTAGAGTTCGATCGAATTTTTCTATTGTATTCAATTTACCCATTTCGAGTTTTCATTAAGCCTATTTAAGTAATTCAATTCTATATCTCTATATGAATCAAGCTTAGTTAAACGAAACACCAGTTCTAAGAATTCATATTATGACCGCAATAATTAGTATATGTATCTCTACACGTTATACTAATTTATCGAATTTTACTCTATGATGTAAATCTCAAACTCAATTCTCAATTAGTAAGAGACTTACATAATTATCAAATTAGTGATTAATTAATTCAATGCAAAATTCATAGTAAAACCAACACATATAAGAATAAATCATAAAAATCTTGAATAGAAAAAATAATGGATCACAAATCGACTACATTGTTTACCCTAATATTAAAATTAGTTACTCATATAAAAATAAAAAACATACAAAAGTAGAACGATATCACAAAAAATTGACGAGACATGAAATTGTTCGTGTCTGCTGTCTCCTTTCTTCCTGTGCGTGTGTATTTATCACTCTGGCTCACTTTTTCCTCTGTTATAAACTCTCTGCGTGCGTACATTGTATATATTTTCCCCTTTTTTGCTCTCTGTACTTGAATGTGTGTGTGAATATATATATATATATATATATTTTTTAATTTTATTTTCACTTCAAAACAGCCGCCAAGGTTGATTCCAAAAGTGCTTCCTTCTTCCATGTTTCTCTTTTTCTTTCTTTCTTTCTGGCCGTCTCTTTCTTTTATCTCTTTCTCCTCTCTTTTTTGATTTCTTTTCTTCCTTTCTGCTGGCAGCCCTTTTTTTCCTTTTTCTTCCCAGCTGCCCATGTTCTCTCTTCTCTCTTTTCGTCCCTGTATATGTATATAATATAGTATATATATAGGTTTAATTGTGGGCTTCCAGTTAAAAAAATATTAATATTATTCTTCAAATCCTTAGTCTTTCAAGATAATGAAATTCAATCATTGAGATAAATTTATTTGTTCAGCCCATGTCTTCTTTGATTCAATTCAAGTCCTTCACTTTGCAAAGTATAAAATTTGATCTCCAAACTTTGCATCCAATAGTCAATTTAGTCCCCATTCTTTGGAGTTTGCCATTTTTCTCTCTCTATTTTTCATTTTTTTCTCTAATTCTTCATCAAAGATAAAGTTTTATCTACAAAATGCAATATAACATAAATTATGTAGAATTTTATTCAAAATACAATAAAATATTATCATTTAGGATCTCGAATAAATGTAAAAACTACACTTATCACAGAGGGGGGCTATGGTTATACACTCGAAAGAATTGAAAATTTTTTCGTGGACGGAATTTAAAATTTACTTGCAAACAAACTAGCTTAAAAGAATTTGTTGTATAAACATCACACTCATTCAAAAATATATTTGAAGGTGATATTTGGAGTTAATTCTTTCTAATTATTTAATTACACATTAAATAGATTGATATCACTATTCTTATTTCATACTTAGATATGGAGATAAATGCACATGAAGATGTATATTTTTTGTGTACAATAAAATTTCAATAAATTAATATGATTGGAACCACAGGAATTTATTAATTTAGTAGGTTGTAAATTTAATCGATAAATTAGATAAAATAATAAAGTATTAATTTTGAAAGAATTTTATGTTCAAGGTCCATCGAAGTTAATATGTAGATACATATGCCCCTGTTCGAGCCCCATTATTTCGAAACTCATTTTCTTTTAAATTTATTTTCTACACACATTTTTTCAATAAATAATTTACATGTATTAATAAACAATCATCTTAAAGCTGCTATGGACAATTGCATGGCCAATATGTATATATTTTCTTATTACGCCCCTATTTGATGAGGATTAAAATCAAGATTTTAATAAAAGTCAACAATTTATTTGAATTACATATTTTATGAAAATCATAACTTTTCAATCATATATTTTATCAACTTTTATTAAAATCTGCTACAAGTATGATCTTAATCTCATCAAACAAGCGCTAAATATATGTGAAATAAATTCTTGAGATATAACAAATTGCATAATAAATAGCATTTTATCATATTCGTCCAAATTTCCATAAATGACAAAGCTCTCTATTAGAAATTAGAGTGTAGTACAATCGTAAATACTTTTATTTATTTTTTAATCATGCTGAATGCTATTGTCTAATCTTGCAGACCATGTACGAAATTATCCTCAAAGGCTAGCTACTGTAGTTCTGCAGAATTCCCCTCGAATTTCTTCCGCTTTAGTTCATTACTGGTTGATCTCCACCTAAAGAAAGTCCCAAAAAGTACCTCCATATCCTCTAGGGTTCTCCCTTGTGTCTCAGGCAGCAACGTGAAGAAGAAAATCCAAGCCATAATTGCAATCCCTGCGAACAGAAAGAAAGCCCCTCCAATTGTAATGCGCTTGTACAGGGATATAAATGACATCAGCAGTACCCCACTGACCAATCTATTCATTGCGACTCCCAAACCGCACCCTTGAGCCCTTAGCCTCAACGGGAAAATCTCAGAGCTGTAGACCCACGCAATGGGGCCCATCCCCATCGAGAAAAATGCTACACACGATAATGTCATGAGGATGCACAAGGCGATGGCCCACGTTATTTTTTGATTGGGAGAGTGATCGATTATGGTCAATCCAATAGCTAGGCCCAAGAGAGAGATTATCATACCACCGCAACTTGTGAGGAGCAAAACTCGCCGTCCAATCTTGTCTACCAAAAATGTAGTCACTAGGATAAAGACCGTCTTTGAGACTCCAACAGCTATAGTGGCGAGTAGCTTGTGGTTGTCATTTTTAATACCGGCTTTTTCATAAATCTTGGGACTATATAAAACAACAGCATCTATGCCACTCGCTTGTTGAAAGAAATGTATGCCAATGCCCACCAATAAAATGTGCTGGACGGTACGTGAAGGGTGAAGAAACATTTCCTTCCACACGTCTTCGCCATGGCTTCGTTTAGGGACAACAACCACATCGTCGTTGCAATCTAATGGCAATCCTGCCGCCTCTTTAATATCAGCTAGTCTCAATTGCGACTCTTCTAACGAGTCCGAAGTTTTGTCTAAAACTTTCTTTGCATCGCCTAAACGACCTTGCATGACTAGCCATCGTGGTGACTCGGGCATGGCTAGGACACCTACAGCTAGAAAAATTGATGGAATTGCACCAACACCAAGCATAAGTCGCCACCCCAAATTTGTTGAAAAATTGGAAAATGCATAATTTGATACATATCCTAACAATACACCTGCAAGACAGATTAAAATAGTTATTATGATTTCATAAATTAGTATTTTTAATATGAAGGGGAAGTAGATAAATGAATTAGAGGCTATGTTCGTGTAAAATTATTAGTCACTTTTTAAAAATAGTAATAAATTCAACAAAAGTATGGTCAATAAACTGTTCATGGCTATTAATATTCCATCCGTTCCACAAAAATAGACTTATTTTTATTTTCACACAGATTAAGAAAATATAATTAAATAATGACTTAAAATGAGAATATTTCATATTTATTAATAATCAAATATATTTATAGAAATATATTAAAAAAATCCTGGTTTGACCTTGGATTTAAAGCTTGTTTGGAAGGAATTAAAATTCAATTAAAATTGAAAATATAGCCGTTATTAGGTCTCACTCATTCAATAAAAGTCAACAATAACGACTAATTTCTCAATTTTAATCTCATTTTAATCTCTACCAAACACACTCTTAATCCCGGGACAACTCGTTTATCCCGGCCATCAAATTATTGGATCGGTCCACTCGAGTGCTCTGGCCATAAATTCAAAAGAAAAAAGACGTGATTGGCCGAAACGTCAATTTGTACTCAATTCACGTGTTTGACCAGACCAATTGGAGAGAGTAGGGACAAGCATATAAAGATGGATCCAATTGGGTTGTTGTCACAGTATCAGCCAAACTTTCTGAAATAAAAAAAATATAATATATTATCTTGGTAACAATTTTTAATGCATAAATGATTGTTCTTCACAGACAAAAAAATAACACCAGAAGGAACAAAAGAGATAGAAATTAATTACAAGAATAAAATTAACAGATATAATATTAATAATCATTGACAAATAATTGTGGCTAACATTTGAAATTAAATTCAACGCAACGCTTGGTGCTTCCTATGCTATTGCACATGAAGGGAATCATACCAAATCTCCAAATATCGAAATACGACCAAAAAAGTCATTAATCATCCGAAAGCTAAGTTGAGAGACGGGCTAAAACGACTTTTATGTGACATTATTGTAATTAGGCATTTGAGGAAAAGAATCAAAACATTAACTTTCGCGAACCCTAGAGCGCCCTTGGGAGTTTCGGGATAAGTGTCGATTTTGAATATCTATGAGGGATTAAATTTTGGATAATTTTTTTAGGCCCCTGTTCTGTGCAAATTACAATATAAAATTTTATGGAATTCACAACTTTTCAGTCACAAATTCCAATAAAAATTTGATTTTAATTATCATCGAACAAGGGTTAGTTGTAGAGTAATTTTTTGGTTGTTTTTTTTTTTTTTTTGTTGAGATTTTTCAAAACTTTTTCTCTATGTATTTACTTGCAGTTAAAATTTATAAGTAAATAGTCGCAAATGACATGTATCTTTTTAATGCGTATGTACGTACCAGCGTTGATGAATACTTCAGGGAAAGAAGTGAGGAACCCACGTGATGACGCTGGAGCTACCTCAGCGGCGTACACCGGAGCTATCATCAGAGCATACCCAACTCCGATCCCGGCCACAAACCTACCGACCATAAGAAATGAATAGTTGGTGGCAAAGCCCATTAAAAAAGCTCCGGCGAAGAAGATTGCCGCCGCGAAGACAATAGTATAACGGCGGCCAATCCAGTCGGAGGTCCGTCCGGCCACGGCGGCGCCGACGAGGGCGTAGAGATTTATGGTCCCTACTAGGATCTCTATCTGGACGTCGGAGACTCTAAGGTCTTTCTTGATGTATAATATTGCTCCACTCATGACTCCAGTATCTGCGACAAAAACTTTCATTCTGTAAACTAAGAAATTACAAAGAACGATACTTGCAACAAACAGTATTATTATTATTACCATATCCGAGTAAGATGGACGTCATGGAAGCTAAAATGGAGCATCCTAAAGCATACTTGTTTCTCTTTGGTTTCTTGGGGAGAGCCAAATCGGAAATTGGCTGCTGGGCTTTGTTTGAATTTTCGTAAACTGCATTTTTTCCTGGGTTTTGGTCAGCCATGAGGGAAAGAAGTGGAGGATATGTGAGCGATGGATGAGTTTAGATGAGCAATAATTCAAGTCTTGTTGAGGGTATATATGGTGTCTTTTCCTTTTTTCTGTATGGATAGAGACCAAGAGTCAGATTATTGTATATCTACTTGTACACACATAAATATGTACACACATTAGTTGTACAAAAACGTGGTAAAAATACAAGTCAATTAAGATTGTGACGTGTCAAAATATTAATGGAGAATTGCGTGTACTAACACTTCAAATATTGCGACGTGTCAAAATATTAGTGCAAGATAGTCAAAGAAACAACAAGATTACGACAGCTAATTTTTTTTTAACGTGCACAACACAAAAAGGAAATTTTTATTTCTGCATTGCAATAAATGCTCATTCTCTGTTAAAGGAAAAATATTAATTTAGCCACGTTCAGTACAAGGAAAAATGTGATTGAGATGAAATCATGGACGTATGTTTCCATAAAATTGCATAGCCAATGGATATTATGGACTGCAATTATGGAAGTGAGTTGATTTATCCATTACCGATTTATTACTTCTCTATTTCCGTTTAATAACTGCTTAAGGTATATATGGTACATGGATAAAAAGAAATTGGATAAGATCAATGAAGATATATTTATTCTTATTAAATAAAAAAATTGAGGAATATAAGTTTGTATACAATATTATTCGATAGTGTGGCCCCAAATATATTATTATAGGAAAAGAACTAAAGTTACTAGGGCTCTTAAATGAGATTTTGATGAATTTTAAAAATTATTTTCAATTTAGGTATTCTTAATTGATATTTTAATAAATTTTAATGAACAGAACTAGTCTCCTGCCCACAGCGTGCAAAAGATACAATGTCTATCGCTAACATGTCAACAATACACATCGACATCTCATCCTCTGTGGGCAAGATATCAGTTCTAGTAGAAAAATGTGTTTTTGAATAGTGATTGATGGAAGAATGTGTGGTTAAAAAGTAAGGAGAATTTTTAGGTTTATGTGTAATATTATTTTATTGATAGAATGTGTGGTTGAAATGAAGAAAGAGAAAAATAATGAGAAAAAAAATAAGAAAANAATGAGAATGAGAAAAAAATGGGTGCCAAACGGGGATTAAAATTTAACTTTTCTCTATAATTCATGAATTTATAAGGATTTCATTAATAAATGAATTTAAAAGATTTAGATGGATTTCAAGTTTAAAAATGCATATAACAAAAATCATTTTTGAAATTTCACAATTTTAAATAAGATTTTTTATAGATTTTGCGAAAATTTATTCAAATCTACGAAATTCATTAGAACTTATAATCTTTCAAAATTCATCAGAATCTTATGTATTAAAAAAATAAAATAAAATCATGATTAATATAAATATATGATGCCTTTTAATGATATTCTAATGCTTTTCGGATTTTCTTTTCCTGTCCCACCATGATATTTATTTTATAATTTGGGCCTGTCAATTAACAATAAGCGATTCCACTATGTGTGGGACTTTTCACTTCACTGATGAAAGAGACTTTTCAGCAATCCCACAAAGTGTGTGTGCTCTCCACTCAATTCTACACTTCATTGATTTATTTTCTTCTCAAGTGTTCAATCACATTCCTCATTTATTTGATCATTTATTGGTCTTCAGTAATTTACCTACTAAACTTTGTCTCAACGTTTTTTTTTTTTTTTTTAAAGTGTTGCACAAATAATTGACAAAAGCGATTAATAAAATTTGTCAAATGCAGATTGCGAAAATCTCATAAATTAAAAAATAAGTGACGTACCAAAACGTGGGGATGAAATTAACGAAGGAAAAAAGGCCCTGGAATTTAAAATAAAATAGTTGGGAAAAAAAATTCTGCAATAAAATATACTATCTTTTAAAATTGTTAAGCCCGTGACACAAGTAGAAAAAGGGGAAGATTACAAAACTAAGAGCTTAAGTTTTCCCAATTTCAAATTTAAGAGATAAGGTTTAAAATTTCAAATCTCAAACTTTTTTAAATTTTATAAATAAATAAATTAAATATATTAAGGTCACAATTCCATACAATTTGTTCACAAATTATAAATTAATTGATCACAAATTATTTTTCGGTCACATTAAAAATTTTTATAAGTCACAAGTTATTTCACAATCACAAATCGAAAATTTTATAGGTCACAACTTTCGGTCACAAATTTATAAAATTAATAAGTCACATATTATTCATTAGTCACAAATTATTTTAACGTCACAATTCAAAAATTTTATAAATCACAATTAATTCATTGATCACAAATCAAAAATTGAAACATCACAATTTATTTATAGGTCACAAATCACAAATATTAAAAGTCACAACTTATTAGACAGTCACAAATTATCAAATTATCGATCACAAATTAACAATTTTTTAGATCACACGTTATTGTTTTTTTTGTCACAATTTATCTTTTTCATTGGTCGAATATTGTTTATGGGTCACAAATTAATCAATTTAATGACCACAAACAACCGAAACCCTGTCGCCGGAACCCACCACCACCTCCCGACAATAAACCATCATCTAAAAATATCGACATCACCACGACCACCACCACCCACCCACAACCACCGCACATCTCACCACTAAAAATGCAGAATCTCCACCACCAATCCCCTCCCATCCACAACCAAAAAAAAATAAAATCCCCAACCCTACCGCCAACAATGTCGTCGTTGCCGACCAACCACCATCTACACCACCTATCCACAACACACCATGGCACCAACCGAAAGCAACATCACCACTTCACCGTCTCCGCCGCCACAACCTCCAATAAACTGCAACGTTCAACTTCAAAACTACCACCACGACTCCACACACAACCACAAACAAATCAACACTAACCGTCGGATCCATCGCCGCCACCACCAAAACCAACAAACCCCATCAAATCCACCATCAATCCAACAAAACCACCACCACAGCCAAATCCACCACCGCCACCACCAACAAAAACTATCCCCAAATCACGAAGCAGCGCACAGCCCTACCATCACCCCACCGTCGTCGCTACCGTAGCAACGATTCGACTCCACAACGTCCATCAACCACCACAAAATCACGACTCCCCCACAAAAATTACATAAAACTCATAAATAAAAAAAATGTAGTGGTGATTCGCATGAATAAGCACAACTACTTCGTGTTTGTGCACAACGCAGCCAAATGAGATTGCACCGTTTCCTGGAGGCTGACTGTCGTCGAAAAATGAGGAGATTGGAGAGTGGAGATGAGAGAAGGATGGTAGAGAGAGTGAGAGGAGAGAGTGACGGAGATGAGAGAAGGATGAGGAAAATTAAAATGAAATTGATAAGAGTTTGGGAAGAAAATTGTACAATTAATATTTAATATTTAAAATAAAATGTCTTGTTTTTGAAAAGTTAAACCTTTAATTTGATTTTTGAAATTGAATCTTTAAAAATCTGATTTTTGTATAATTTTCCCTAGAAAAACGAGACATACACTCATAATAAGTATGAGCCTGTTTGATAGAATTTATTTGAGAATAATAAGTTGTGGAATAATATATTTTGGAGAATGTGTGGTTAAAAAATGAGGAAGCTTTATTGGCTTGTGTGTAAATATTTTATTGTGTGAACGTGTGGTGAAAAAATAATACTGTAGCAAATAATTTGATTTTTTGAAGAATGACAAACATGGCATACATATTTATCGAACTTTTGGATTGAGACACGTGGATTCATTATGAGGCCCTTGGGTGGCTAACGAAGGTCCATGAGGACCATAATTATTTCAACACGTATATTAGTCCCCAAAATCTTAGTTGCGTATTCAAGTTGATTGAATGACATTTATGTTTCTTCGCTACTAGTGCAAATTTTTTTGAACGGCATAGTTTTAACCATTGCACAACCTTTCTAGCTTCTCTGCCGTCCGGAGGTCAAACTATAGTAGAAATGGCTTCTATCATTCCCAAGGCATTAAAGTCAAAGATGATTAGAAGCTTGGATAATTGGCTTCATGTGGGTTCTGAGACATTTTTTCGGAGAGAACTTATAATTTTTTATACTCAGATATTCTTTCAATCAAAGGTATGGTTAATCGAATATATTCTTTTAGTTCCCAAGAGATTCGACCATGGATACTCTTTCAATCTGGGTTTTATCGTAACGAATGTGATCTCATTTCTGTAATAAGTTTTGGACCTCAGATACTCTTTCAATCTAAATTCTTTGTTATGTAATTCCACGATATTTTGGACCTCATATAATCTTTCAATCCCATAATGATTTTGGATCTCATATACCCTTCCAATCTGAAGCCTTTATTATGAGGAATATTCTTTTGATCCCCAAGAAGAATGGCTCGTGGAGGTTAAATGAGTTAAGTTCACTTTGGGTTCTTATCTTTACTCCCCTGCTGGTTGTATGTAATCCGAGATACTCTTTCAATCCCCGAAATATTGGTTTGTGCAAGTTAAATGAGTCAAGTCCACTATGGGTTCCTAGCTTAATTTTCCTCGATTATGCATTGATTGAAGATATTCTTTCAATTCTCAAGATGTTTGCATGTGCAGGTTAAAGGAGATATATCAACTTTAAGTTCTTATCTTCCCTTTCGAGACATTTCTTATATTCCACCTCACATGGAGAGGACTGGATAAAATAGTCACCTCGTTTAGTGAGGTACTAGTAAGGTAATCCCTTCACATGGCGAGAGGTAGGTAAGATAGTCACCTCGCATGGAGAGGGGGATAATAGTAGTATCTCCCATGGTGAGGCATCCTTCGTAGTGAGGCATAAATGGATGAGTAATCTTATATAAGGGAAAAATTAAAAAATCAAGTATTAACTTTGACACAATTCAATTTTCAGGTGTCGAGTTTCAAAATGCAAAACTCAGGTATTTATTTATTAATTAAAAATATTTTTATTAATTAATTATTTAATATTTAATTTTAATATAATATAATTAACTCACCCCACCTACTCCACCCCTGTCGTTCC